TGGCACTCAGTTCCTCACTAATCGAAATCCAACATCCCCATTATAACTGAGCTAGCCCGACAGGCGTTTTAGATTACTACACCATTCACAGGCATTCATCGAGTGCAGTTTCGCGTCAAAGTACGCACGGATTTAATGTGGATTAGAAATAATATTACAGCAGACAAGTTTAAATGAGAATTTTAAGTTGGTTATCGATGTACTGCGAAATAGTGGGACATGCATCGCCCAGCAGGAATTACAATTGCAATCCGTCACGTATCCATAGAGTAAAAAATGTAACTGACCACTCAATGCAGTCTAGGCATTAAATTGTGCGCTTACTGAATCCTTTTGTACAGAGGCTATGCAGCTGAACTTTAACGAGACCTGCGCACAGGGACGTGGGCTTTTGCTTTCTTCGAGCGAAAACCCGAAGTACAAAGCCGCCAAGGTGGTAAATACGAATGAGACGCCGAGTTTGCGTAGCCGAAAGGATGTAAGGTAGGTTTATTAGCATCTCGGAGTACCAAGTTTCACGTGTGAGAAAAAAGAGACAAAGTTCTTGTTGCCATGGCTTTTTGGGGAGTCGTATTTTTGGCTGCTAGCAAACTCTATATATATATATATCGGTGTCGAAGTCTGCAGAGAAGAAAGCAATGAGCAGGTGGTGAGTTGTTCGTAGGGATGGCCTACATATAGGCAATAGCAATGACCTTAAACATTCTAACTAACAGGTCACGGGTTCAAACCCCGGGTGGTACACCATTAGGGGTTGGGTATGGCTGACTGTTAAAGGCTAACGAGTCGGAAATGACCACACCCGTCTCCCCTGTCTTTGTCTGTAACCTATTTATGTCCACAATACAGCTAGCCGTTGAGCGGCTGCTGATGGGCTCGAGAGCGAACTCCAAGGCACAGAGATGATTGAGTTCCATAACCAATCGATGAGTGCCCATCTACCAGTACCAATATTCCCAATCGAAACGGTAAGACAAGGAGTTTGTGGCGCAGTGGGTTAGAGCATTGGATTTTTAACAAACAGATCATGGATCCTAACCTCTGGTGATGCACCTCCTGGGATGATTGGGTATGGCTGCCTGATGACGGCTAATGAGCCAGAAATGGCTATTCCACTTTCCCTTACCTTTATCGATAATGTCTTTCTGTCTAGATTATGCAGTTTTGCATGCAGGCCTTTTGAATCCAAATACGAACCGTACTATTGTCTCAGATCAGAACGGAAAGCCAACCTAGCACGTGACACACACAAAAGAAAGTGGCGGTGTCAACCACAGCGCCCAATGCCGTCGGCAGACAGTTTGATAGTCTGGAAGACGCTTTTTGCACTGTCAAAACTTATCGACAGGAAGGTTACGATCCAGACAAATAAATCGGTCCTCGGAAATCGCATGTACCAGTCGTTGTGACCCCAATTCAACTCTTACTTAGTCGAGTAAATAATGTTGGCTTCGCGTGAGAAGGCGAGCCAGTACCTGGATGAGACAGCTTTAATGCCCAACACCTACTTCCGGTCACTCTGACTTTTTCATACCATCGGAGAATTATGTGCACGGAAGGGGCTTCTCTCACCATATTCCCAACACCGCAAAAGTCATTCTTATCTTCTACCCAGGTAGCAGCGGTCCTCGTGGACTTCGACGAGAGAATTGCCGGGCAACGTCAAAAGAGACACTTCTGATCTATTCCGTTTTGATATACAGAGTCAGTTAGTTAACCTTTACAGAAGCAAACCCTCGGTTGCACTCCAAAATACTGATGGCCAAACTCTGTTCCTGCGGGCAGAAACAAACTTTCAGGGGGGGACATACAAGCCCGCCCCCTTTAGGCGTAGACGGCGTCGCAGAGACAGTGGCCACCACCTAGGGAAGTCGGAGCTATCCGTCATTTTCCGACAATTGCAGCATCGCATGTGGACAGAGTCGGTGTCCTATATATAGGACAGATCTATTATTAACGTGGCACCGCAAGAAGGAGGAAGGCGTACAGGCGGAGAAAATCACATGGAATAGCGGTCATCGACAGGAGTGGGACATTTTTGTAGTTATTACTAGAGCCAGAAGAAAAAACAGCATCGTAGAATGGGCTGTATGACTAGACTAACGGCGGGGGGGGAGGATTCCACGCATGAACCCTCCCTCCCCCTACAGTATATGTAGTACCTCGTGAAATTTAAACCAGAATTCTAAAAAAGGTGTTTTCCATTAGAAAATATTACTTAATTGGGGTTGAAAGTATCCTGCAGCATAATCCTCAGATATTCCAGTAAAAGTAGGTTATATAGTGCACCTCATATACTCCTATTCCCAACACTTTGTCCTATAGAAGCGGTGGTTATAAGGGTTTTGATGCTGGGGAAATAGGATAGGCAGTGAAGGAAATTTGTAGAAGTGTAAAGTG